TAATACTGTGTGATTTACCCTCAGATAGAGCGGTTTTATTAATCATTGCAATTATAAACTCAGACAGAGTAAGAGGAAAACTTAGTATATATATATCCCTTGTAAGAACCCAATCATACACGTTACAATTTCTTAAAATAGTATATTATCAAAGATCTTTTTTAAAATTTACAAATCAACAACAATTCGTTACATTTCACGCAAACCTAAAACAAAATCTAACAGATTAATAGCGTGCGCAGCGAGCTGTAAAGACGCCTGGGCGAGGAGAAAATTCGGACTTAGCACATTGATCCAAACGATTTTTTTCACGAAGTAACCTTTGGACCCACAATCTTCTGCAAATAGCATCTTGCCCCAAACTACGCTCTCGCGGCAACAACAAAAAGTTCAACAAAAAATAAACACAAGTTGATTTAATGGATATCGCAGATAAATGGTAGATTAAGCGTCCTTTATTAAAATGGCTTCGGTTTGGAAATGCAACTTACTTGTACATACGACGTCATACATGTGACATCAGAGTTCTAGATTTGCCAAATGCAGAGACGGATCTAAATAAAAACTGAATAGGTATCTGTGCTCGACCTAATGGTAGCACTGTCAACATTGCAATCATTGAATTCCCACATTGAATGGTGTTAAATCAAAAATGAAAATGGGATAATTTTCACTAATTTTGAAGTTTATCATTTAGTATGCGACGTCATGAATATCACAATGATGCCTTACTATGTAAGACCAGAATAAAGTTGGACTGTTTTTCGATATGCAAAAAAGTTTATAAAAATAAGGAAACATTTCAAAATGCATATTTAAAATTTATATAGTAAGTTAAGTAATAATACTGTATAAAACATGTCTCTATAATAAACTATATCCTAACAATAATATTTGTGTGAGCAAGCCTTATGCAATAAATGCACTTAAACAAATGGACTAAGAATAGTTTTAAGATAACATATATTTATTTCTGTAGTAACTGCTGTAATCTTATTCGATAAGGACAGGTGTTGCAACCATATTTTGTAAATGTTGGTGATTTGATCTACAGCAGTCCACAGGAATGTTATAAATACACGAGAATCTAATTTAGTTTACTATCTGAACATCTGTATACAAGTTTTAATCGTTAAAGTGCATTTCAAAAAGACAACTGAGGCTACGTCAATCATCAAATGAAAATGAAACTGAAAAATTTTCGTGTAAAAAAAACGTGGTTCTTCTCTTAAATAAAATTTCAAAAAACGGTGATTTTTTGCTTTCTTTGATAACAATTATCCTTCCTCGATTTTTCATTAGAATATGAGGCTTGGGAAGTATTGCTGTTTTAAGTTATATAAAAGTTGAACTTTTGTTTATGTTCATGGTACCGTAAACCAACTATTATTCGTGTCATCCTTTATTCGCGATTCCTCAGCAATTAATTTTCGCGACTGAGGATATATTCTCTACAAATAAAAAGCAAAATAAATGGTTACCGGCGATAAATATTCACAAGTAAAAGTAGTTTGCGAAACTCGCGGACATTTCTCGCACGCGAATAAACGTTGGTTTACAGTATTAAGAATATGAGATGAACAAACTTTTTACATGTGCGCAAGTACACACGCGGCAGACAATGGATGCGACGTGTATTTAACAAGATATTATTAATTTTAAAACTATCTGTTACCCTCATTTAATGAAGATTTTGACAATCAATACACAATAAAAGTGACTTATTTAGAAACTTTATCATTGAATCTTTGCATTATATTGCAATACTCTAAAGTGAGAAAACCCTTCATACAGTGTGCTTTCAGTTCTGGATAGCGATTATTAATTACATGTAAGTCTTAATAATATGCATGGTTTTCTTCTCGTCGGTGTCTTGTTTTTCTTTTTGTTTTTGTTGCTTGTTTATATTTTTAATTTGCTTTTTTGTTTGCTTATTTGTTTAGTTTTTGTGAAAGTACTTTAAATAATCTTATAGTATGTACCTCAAAGTAGCCTCTTACATTAATTTTTGAGATAAGATTTGTCATCTCTCTTGTGAGCCCTTACCTTGGTAAATTGTTGATACATGTATACTATGAAATTTTCATCTTCTTGGGAAACGGAACAAATAGCTTAGTCCTATCGTGGTAATAACAACGAAATGCTACAAACTTTTCTGATACCTGCTAGCAACAATTGCATAAGGACGTGGAAATGGAACTTCATATTCTTTCCCGTTACAATCGCTTTAAAAATATCACTAAACATCTCATTAAAACTGTAGCTGTCTTCGACAATTAAACAAAGCATGCAATTTTAAATTCTTTTATTGAAAATTAAAACATTACATTTGTTTGACCTCCTTTGGAATAGTTCGAATTATTATATATTTTTCCCTTTTCAATTTTTGAACAGAAAACTTTATTTATTTATTTATTCATTTACTTATTTATTTATTTTTACAAATTCTGTTTTGTTTTGCATACATATTTTTACACATTTCATACCAATAGAAGTTTGTGTTATTTATTCTTGAGCAAAGGTAGGATCTGAAATTTAATCTCATGAAGTCAGTAAGAATCTTATTTGGTATCTTAAATTTTGATATAAAAATTGTTATTTTGCATTCGAAAAAATAATCTAATTTGATTGTATTAGAACTATTTCTTCTCAAAAGTTAAATTCAATTTTAACACTAAAGAGTCGTCACTAGGTGTCGGGAAAGGGGTCTTGGAGAGGTACCCCTCCTCTAAGTAAGTTTCTTTTTATATATACATTTGTACATGTACATATTAAAAATTGGTGGGATACTACTGGTGCAATCTGGAAATAATTTTGTTGAGCGTCAAATAAAGAAAACTCAGCAGCATTACTTTGAATAGATGAATAATGAATTTATTTTGTATCCAGAATGATATTTTTCATTTTTTAAATGGGTGCCATCACCCTTCCCTATTCGGTCAGCCTTGCACTGCTCCCAGAGAAGATTATGATTATGATACCCTATTTAAGGTCAAGACCTAGTAATGGAAGGAGCCTACAGATTTCTCAAAGTTGAGAAATAAATTCCTTTAATGATGCTTTATGACTTTAGAATTTGGTCAAATAAGGTGTATATCGGGGCATAATTTGTTGGTACATGTTAACAAGACGAAAAATCACATTTTAAACTGCCATTTTCAATGAAAAAATAAGAAAAACAGTCATCAATATGGGAGTTTTTTCCCCATATCATACAAATGTATCCAGAAAGCCTACAGTCTCTCAGAAAACGATAACATGTATGTTCTTAGCTTTGTCTTTAAAATGATATTAAGATGGCTGGGGGGTCAAAAATTAACCATCAGATATAACTTAATTTTTTAGATATGATATCTTAAGCTGTCAACTATCATTTGGCAAACAAAAATTTCATGCATTTTAGTTTTAAAATTTAATCATTTTTGTATATCTTTATATGGAGCTCTTCTTCTAAAGGAGATCAATATAGTCTGAAAATGGCCACAACCACCCATCCCTCTTAAATTCAATACAGGTTTTGGGATCAATTTTCACATACTTTCAATTTGAATTCCATGAAAATACTTCATTTTCTACATATTCTATTAGAAACGTAAAGTACGGGAAAAAGAAAGTTTTAATTGATTATGATGTCGTAAAGGATCTAGCACCAAAAAGCCAGTCTAAAGTCATTTACTAACTCTTGACCTAAAAAAAATAAAATTAATATTATGTCTTAAATTAATGTATACAGTTGGAAACTTCAATTTTCACAGAGCAGGGAAAGTGTAATATATCGTTTTGTTTGTAAAGTAATGTTTAAAATTAAACGTTTACTCCTCCATGGCACCTTATCCCACCTCTGATGTTTTTAGAGATCTATGTTTGCTCTCCTTCAAATTCGTATTGTTTCAATTAAGTTTTGAGCTTGATTACTCTCCTTTATCTTCATATTTCATTACTTCTAGAAAGAAAGTAATAAAAATTGTAAGCATGGTTATGAGAAGCAATGGAACCTCTACCAAAAATATGAAATTCATGGTCTCTGTGTTCAGGCTGAAGGGTTGGGCTAAGTTTGTGATACTTCTATTGTGAAAATGCATCATATCCTCTCTTTTTTTTACTCATGGACAAATACATAATTTTGCTGAACCTTTAGCTTCAAAAATTATGAAATTTGTGGTTTATAGTTAAAGCCACAGGGTAAGGCTTAGTTTGTCATAAATTTGAAAATTCATGTAATCTTCTTTACCCAAAGACAGCTATCATGCAAAATGTTTGCAGGGTTATAATATGTAGTTAACCCTAAAACTGAGGTTTCCTGGGACCGGGGATTCTGTCCAGGGTGGGGTTAAATTGATCTAATATTGAAGTTTATTACACAGTGTAACTTACCTTTATTACGCTTAAAATTCTGAGAGACAAGATGTATGAATATAATTTTAAAGTCTTCACCAAAGGGTGAATTTTTGTCACGGAAAGTCCAGATTAGTTCCAGGTGGGCTCAAAAATGATTTAGCCTGAGAGACTCGTGATATACAGGTACATGTAATCGTCAAGACCCGTAAGCTTCTTGTTTTGCATTTCAACTCTTTTCTTTTGCAGTTTCATTGTACATGCTTGATCTTTTTTCCCAAATAATTTGAAAGTGCATCTTAAAAAAATATTAAGGTTCTGAACTAATAATCTTCAAGTTACTGTCATCAGTTTCATATGATATAGAAAATAAAACTTTTTTTAGCTTGTCTGTATAATCTATCATATTCTAAGGTTGAGCGTACAGAATCTGGCATACATGAAAGTGAATATCTTAGGATTTTGTGGGATTAATTATACTGTTGAAAAAACAAAACAAAATGTATAGTCATAACAAAATGAAAAATAAAACCTGCAAAAATGCAACCATTTTGAACTTTTGAAAGTAAATATTATTATTCTTACGCATATTCATATATTTTAACAAAGTAATGATCAGCAATGAGGGATCCCAGATTTGTAATAAAATATTTTTCAGTCAGAGAATGAGAGTGAAATACTTGTTTTGTTGTACCGGAGAAGTGGACACTTACAAACAAGAAGTAATGGAGTTGCTCAAGATGGCGTGGCCAATGGTGAGTGGTTAAGGTTAAATAATAAAAGCAATATATGTAACACAGAAGTATATGGAAATCAGAAGTAGGTCACTGGAAGATTACTATAGATTGCAGTCCAATGTTTCTAGTATTGATATCATGATTTCTTTTAGCCGATGTTTGCTCACAAAAGAGGTTCAAAAATCAAAGTACAGAAATGTTTATAGATGTAGGAACAGCGTTTTCAATGTAATAAATAAAAATTGAAATCTCCTTCTCAAGAACCACTGGATCAAAAAGCTGAATCTTATGTGGAAGCATCCTCTGGTAGTGTAGATCCATTTTCCCAAATCACAGCCCTGGTGTTTAGGATGGGGACACAAAAGGCAATCAAAAATAAAGAAGAATACATGTATTTTGGAAAAAAAAATCTGATGCAGTACAGCAGGGTCAAAGTGACTCAGGTGAGCGCTGTGGCCCGTGGGCCTCTTGTTTGGATAACTGCAAGGCAACAATAGTCAACTCAATGTGAGTTCTGGGTTTATCAATTGGGGTGGATGAATTACACTACATTGGAGGTTATAGAAAATCTCCAAAATTCATAAATTATTAGATATTCAATTTGCAGGTTTGTACAATTTAAGATTCCTGGGGACAAGAAATACAAACCGGTCCAAGGTTTTACTTATAATATAAATACAACTAAGAACAGTAAGACTATATTTTGTTAATTTACTGAGTAATTCAGACCGAAAAGTTGTTAAAATCATGGGTATTGGTCAAATTAGTCCATACTTGTAGTTAGCGTTCTTACGTGTAAATTAAAACTGAAGACGACTTGTAAATAGCCATACTCCATACTATTAGTTCATCGAATTCATCTAATTTCAGTTCAAGATGGTGATATACGTATAGTAAGTTTTGTTGAACTCTTTGAAATTAATATGCATGTGGTTGGATTCTCACTTTTAAGAAAAAAGATGGTGTCTAAAAGAATTGGGGAAGAAAACCTCTCAATTTCAACCAAAATAGGTCACTGTTCTTTAAAACTCTGAATTCATACATTATACCTGCACTTTCTAAAGAAAGTTCGGGTATTTTGTAGATACCCCGGTTCGTTTGTCCTTCCGCCTGTCCAACTACATGTATATTTTTCTTCAAACTCCTCTTACATTTTCGCAGTAGCCCGTTCATATTTTGGAATATAATTGGTGTAGGGCTGAAGATGTGCAATAAGGTTTTGGAGTTTTGATTTTCACCCTGGGACCCAAATGGGGATCAAAAATGACTTTTTTCTATAAAAATCTGGTTCCCTGATCTGCTCTGACATTTTTTGCAGTAGCTCATTTAAATTTTGAAATCTGTTTGTTGGTATGCTGTAGATGTGCAATAAGGTTTCGGAAACTTTATTTTCAATCTTGGCCTGGGCCAAAAAATCAAGTTACCAAAAAAAAAACAAACAAACAAACAAACAAACTTGTTCCCTGAACTCTTCTTACACAAGACACTCCAATCATAGTCAAAAATATGAATAGGTTACAACCAAAAATGTAAGAGGAGTTCAGGAACCATGTTTTTATAGAAAATCAACGCCCCCTCCCCCCCCCCCCCCCCCGCCGGGTGATAATAGATATTCCAAAACCTTGCTGCAGATCTATAGCAGTATTAGCACACCACCAATCATATTTCGAAAGATGAGTTAGTTCTTGCAAATAATGTAAGAGGAATTCAGGGAACCAGGTTTTTTGCAGAATAACGACGGTTTTGACCCCAATCGCCCCCAGGATGAAAACCAAAATTCTGAAACCTTATTGCACATCTACAGGACACCACCAATCATTTTCTCAAAGATGAGTTGCTAACTGCAAACACTGTAAGAGGAGTTCAGGAAACCAGGATTTTCGTACAAAAAACACTCTTTTTTTTACCCCCAATTGGCCCCTGGGTTGGAATTGAATGAATTGGCTACTGCTTTTAAAAATGTAGAAGTGGTTTTAGAAAGGAGAAAGTGTGACAGACGGACGGATGGACCGTCCAGGATAACAACGACAGGAAAGGCACAAATGCTAGCCAGAAAAGTTCAGTTGAGCCTTCAGCTCAGGTGAACTAAAAATAAGGGGGTAGGGGATGAACCTGGGGTACTTGCCAAACATGATACACAATGCATCTTGACATAAGCAGCTAGAGTACATGTGGTTTAGGGATAGACATCGCAACTGTTTTAGAAGTATTTGTTATGGATTACCCCATGGGCACTTGTCCAACATAATATGAAATGTTTCTTATGCATTGTGGGTTCTTCCTAAATTTTTGGATGCATAGGATAAGTATATTTTGGGAAACGTTTCCTAAGAGATTTGGTACTGATCGAGCTTAGGGAGGGATCAAATTAAGGCGAGATAAAAGTTCGACAATATACTAAATATTACATGTTTTACACAAGAAATAAAACTCTTTGTGTTTCTATCTTTGTTCTTGTTATATAAATTAAGATAATGATTTAATCCTGACTGGTCAAATTTTGTACAAGCCCAGGTATCATAATTATACCCTGAAGGGTATGTTTTTGCCTGTCTACAACAAACCGGGTGAGGGTCCATAGTGAGTGGTTTTCAAATATAATTTGGTTCAATTCTGTATATTCAAAATATGAAATCATGTATTTTCTTATGGATTTAAGTCAGGAACTTAGATTAATTTCTTTTGGACTTTAGTGAAGGTTTAGATTTTGTTTTCCTGATGCTAATTCTCAAACTACCACCCCCCCCCCCCCCAAAAAAAAAAAAAAAAAAAAAATTAAAAAGGAAAGATTCCACTGAAACACACTAATTATGCAATAGGACTTCCATGTAAAATTTGAAATAAATAATGAGAAAATACTTCTTTCTGTGCCCACTACCTTTTATGGAAGGCACTTTTCATCTCGTGACTATGTTTTCGTCAAACCAATTCCCCAATCAATTGAAGGAATCGCAAAGCATGACGGGCTACTACATGTACATGTTTACAATTCAACAGCGACGGTGTTTTTGTCGGTCTGCATGATATTTACTTGGTCACCGGAAAAAATGTACTGTTTCTTTTTTACTTTATAAGGCTGACATTGAAAGATATCCCAAAGACACTGTTCCATGATCACATTTAATATTGGAGTTGTTTCAGATGATTAATAGTTGCTTCAAATACCGTACAACGCTTTGACGTTTGAATGTATGTAAAAACATTTTGATGATATTGAGGAGCTAAATAATAATTGCGCACATTACACTGCTGTCTAAACTATGTACAAAAAATACACTCACTGCTTTATCGACACAATAGCACCTACGTCTCTTTGAACAATAGTTTACGCCTTTGTATTACACATGTACAAGTTGATATAAGGCTTCTTAAAGATAATTTTGTAAATGTGAGCATAGAAATGAAAGATTATACATCATTTCCAATATTTCTTTCGTTAATATCAAAAAAGAATTGAAAATGAGTTTCCAAGGGACAATTGAATTTCCTCTTTATATTTTCAATACACCTGAGTTCGTATTGATACTTGTAGTAGCCCACAATGCATTGCGACTCATTCAACGGTCGATAAAGTAAACAGATAGCTAATTTACATGCAAATTTATGCTGACGTCAGAAAATCTAGTGGTCTTGACCTGTTTAGTAGTTTTCAACATTTTTTTATTGAATTTTCACACATATTACAAATACATGTACAACTTTTATGTATATATATGTACAAAACAGAATCAAATAAGAAAAAAATAATTAAAACAATCAAAGTTCATTGAGAGAGAGAGAGAGAGAGAGAGAGAGGCGAGCTCTAATCTTTCAAAATAGGGTACTAGTATATATTAATACAGTTTGTCAAAGAAAAAACTTAAATAAAAAATAGCAATAATATTAATAATAATAAAAGTACCATTTTATACCTTAAAACATAATAAGTTTCATTTAAGCTCGCTATTGGAAAAGAGAAAAAAAGAGGGGGGGGGGTAAAGAAACCTAAAACAGTTCAGTTTTGAGGGATTCAGCTTACATGCATATTCAAGTGATAACCAAAGAATTTTTTTTCAACATTTAGGACCATAGAGAGATAACTCCTTCCCCTCCTCATCCCCTTCCCAGTCCCAGGTGTTGTTCATGTATACAAACCAATACTTCGACATAAACAAATTGTGAATATATACAAAAATGTACACAAAGCTTAGTGGCGGGACTCTGAATGATTTTCATTTCTAATTCTATAAATAGTACAAATCTGTAACAGGTTATAAAACACGGACTCCGGAAATTCCAAAAGATAGGATCAGGTGCCTAGGAGGAGTAAGCATACCCTGTCGACCGGTGTCGCATAATATTTGGTCCGCCACGTTTGAAGGTACGGGGGACCAAATACGATAAAGGAGTAAATATCCTCTGTTGACCGGTCACACCCGCCGTATTGATCAGGTGGAATATTTTGTAGTCAAATTTAGTATAAAAACAAAGGTCTATCGATTGATATGAAATACGACCCAATGATAGGTTAAATTTGCTTACAAAATCATTATAACGACCATGGAATTTACAAAATAATCTTAAACGAGATTGTTGAAATCTTTGTAACATCAACTTATCTGTCAGAATCCTGTCTCGGTTTAAGAATATGATCGTACTCAAAGCATATGAGTATCAAAAATAAGTTGGGAGACATAAAGACCATTTTCGGGTGATAGTGGAGTTTTAATGTAATATCAAGCGGACTGAGGAGTTTTTGACACAGGTTATATTGTGATCGTTTCCAGTTTCAGGGGGATGGGGATGATCAGCAAGAGGTCATGACTTTTATACCATTTAATGCATAATGACACAATTTTATGTATGGTTAAAAGGAAAAGTGTTCAAGCGTTTTCGAGATATATGATCATTTGTAGTTTCAGGGGATGACCTCCGGGGGTCATGATCTCATATACCAGTTAATGTGTCATAATACAAATATGACTTAGGGGGGTTTCTATTTTGATTAAAGCTATTTGATTATTTCCGGTTCCGGGGATTGGGATTTACCCCCAGGGACTTGGTTCAATGTATAACTTGCATCCAACAATCTATGACCCCTTTTCAAGCTATAATCATAGCTTGAATATTCTATCATAGCTTTATTGTACTATAATGTGAATTCAATTTTTAGGCACTGACGCAGTTCCTGATGTTTCTGCCATTGTTTGTTAGTCAGAGTTTTTGTGGACATTTAGGAAAGGAATCAATGGACGGTGCTGCCTTAGCATCTACAGTAAGTATAGTACAGACACTTACACAAAGGTGGTGCTTTTGACTAAAATAGAGAAGGTAAGATTAATTATGTTTTCATTATATAATTGAACTAGTTTTTTTTTAATTTTTGTTGATAATTGTATATTTATATTCAGTATGTATATTCTCTTAAAATTTGAGTTGAAAGCTTTGACTTTCAAAACACCATAACACGCAGGGGAAGATCAAAAGGTCAAATCAATGTTTTTTTAGTTTGAAACGTTGATACGCATTGTCATAAATCAAAATCTACGCTCACGTTGAATGCTTCCTCAATTTGCAAGGGTCGTTCAATAAATAAAGCAATAGGTCATCTAAAAGTAAGCAATGTACGCAATACACATTCTGAACATTTTTTTCAATCCCTCAAAGCATTCCCTGTTATCCTTTACGCATGTATTAAGTCTTTTAACCCATGACCAGAAAAACCTATGCATACTCATCTTTAGGGATGCCCCAAAGACACTGATGAATATCATCTAATATTGTACAATCTTCATTTGATTGTTTTCATGCCTTTTTTGGAAAAAAAAATCTCACAATGGATTTTGATTTATGACATTGCGCTTCAACGTTTTAAACTAAAAAAAAAAAAACAAAACATGGATTAACCTTTTGACTGGACAAGCATTCAGGTTGTGAATTCACCACTGTTATTATCCAAGCTGATCCAACAAATGTGTTTTACTACATAATTTCTTGAAAATCGGATGTATTTATGGTGTTTAGAAATACACATCAGTAAGGTATATCTAATAGAAACAAACACTATAGAAATACAAGGAAAACCAAATGTTGTATAGCATTCATGTTAAAACCAAAAAGTTATTTTAAAACGACCCTTTAATAATTTTCCTCAGTAAATGTATGTAGCCACATTAATAGGAGTTCCTAAATTGCTAAATTGCGAAAGGATTTTGGAAATGACCATTGAATATAGCCAGTATGAGAGGATTCACTCACTGCATGGTTAACAGACATAATTATAAAACTACCTGAGGGCAATAGAAAATAGACTGAAAATATTAACTGAATATCATCAAACACCATGATTAAAAATGCACTTCTTTTATCATTTTAGTCATAAAGTAAGCAAAGGTAATCATGAATACAGGATTTTTTTTTGTATAAATCGGTTGAATTACAAATATTGCTGGTTATTCTTTATTTCACAGCATACTGTAATCGATTACAGCTGAATACGATTACTGATTATAATTAGCCATGCAACCCTACCTATAAGTACTTGATAGCTTATAATTTAAGTTTAGCTTTTAAGACAAAAACATAATGGATGTTTAGGAGGAAATCATTGATGCGTAGCGCTTTCAATGTCATTGTGACCAATTACTACCATAATTTTGTTCTCAAAGATTATCATAAAAATTCATTTAGACATTGATTTTATAAATTTTCCCTTATAAACTGATTAAATTCCTCAGTCAAAGGTATACTTAAGAAATGAATTTAATTTTTGAAGATTCATGAGGACATGAACTACGACGCTTCACGCCGGCATATTTCATGAAGCGCGTTAGCGCTTCATGATAAATATGCCGACGTGAAGCGTTGTAGTTCATGTACTTCATGAATTTTCAAAAATTAAATTCATTTCTTATATTTACATTATTTTTCTGATGAGTTTCCACAAGTTACGCCATTCAACTGTCATTTTTTAAGCAAAACAGTTTGCACTATAGTTTTGACGTCAAGTACGGTAGTATGACGTAACAATGGGGATATTCATGCTCATTTCATGGTAGTTCATGAGAAAATGAACAATCGTCTAATTTGCAAAGAATCTTAAGGAAAAATACTTGGAAATGTGAATATATTGAAATGAACAAGCATCGTGAAATTTGAGAGAAAAATGTAGAAAATTGTTGAGGTTATTGCCTCCAAAACATCGAAATGATAACGCGCTTTGAAAAAATTACCCACTTTGAAAAAAAAATTCAAAGTGCGTTAAAATTGGGACAGAATAAATGCACTTTGAATTTTTTTTTTCAAAGTGAGTTAAAAATGTACATCAACATTTTTTTTTACCATGGAGACACTTAACGCACTTTGAAAAAATATATATTAAAAAATAATTCTGGACTTAGATTTTAGTAATAGATAGCATTATTTTGTTATATTTCTATCGAAAAACTGTTGAATTGATCTACCCTCATCGAAAGCGTAGAGAAGACAGGTAGGAGGTCCCTCAGCCCAAATCTTTCCTACCCGAATATATGTATTTTCATAATTGGTATGACATTGATATACTTTCTCTCAATAAATTTGAGTTAACGTAAAATAGATGAAAAAATTGAAATAAGCTTTCCTGAGAAAAAAAATCGCATCCTGTGATATTAAAGAAGAGAGGCTCAGGGGCCACATCGCTCACCTAAGCAACAATTGCCAACTGACTATACTTTGATCAAAGTAGCTTTACAAAATCAAATACAATACAATGCAAAGGAAAAAGAAGCCTTGCATAAGATGCATGGATAATGTTTTCATACATCTGTGTACTAATCAAATAACTTTTAAAAATGTCATCATATATTACGGGAATAAACATTTTTTCTTACTTAAATACTTATCAAATAACTATAGAAATACCATCACATTGTCCTGGAAAATTATTTTCAATTATCATACAAACTTGGTCCTCATTTTCTCGCATTACTCGTACCCCTAAGGGTCATACTTGAACAAAAAACTAGAAAATTCTAAATATAGTAAAAAATATAAGGAAGTCCTTAGTACTGAACTTAATTCTTTTAGAGAGAGAGAGAGAGAGAGAGAAAGAGAGAGAATTTTCATGGTTTGAAAAAATCATAATTGCTCCCCTTTTACCTAAGAAATATGTGATGCTTTAAGTCACTTATCGACCCCTACATCTAAAAACTTATTAAAGACTGGATAAAATAAAAAAAAATGTAACGAAAGTGTGCTAATAAACAATCATTCCTTCATTATTTCGAAAAGATCCATTTCCTTTTTATAAAATAAACGAGAACCTTTTTGGAACAACACAACCCCTAAAAATCTTTAAAACGTCTAAATCTCAGATCCTGAAGTGATGTCATCACCTAAAAGTTATCCAACCAGGTTCAAGTAATTATTTATCATACCTAAAATTTGCAAGAATATTGACCAAGCGTGCACATTTTTTCTTCAAAATTTTCGATATTAACGCATTTTGGAAAGAAATATTTTTTATGCATTAATTTGAAAAAAAAATTTCAAAGTGCGTAATTTTTCAAAGTGCTTTGTAACAATGCTATCATTTTAATTGTATCGAAGTACGTAAAAAACTCTTTTCTGTAAGACTTTTCATTTTATCAACGTTTGGAATCAAAATATCAACTGAATATTTTAACATATGTTATTACAGATTATCAATGTTACAGGGGTTTTTGTGATAATAGGCTTGTCTACGGCGGCCGATGCTCTATTTTCACAGGTAATCTTTATTCAGACCGTAATAATTAAATTTTTGAATGAAGCATTTTCAAATATTTTCATTTCATTTTTTATTCGCAGAAAAATAGATATTTTTGGGGAAAAGGGATTTTACCTTGAAATCTGGCAGTGTTGGGTTGAAATTATGAATGTTGAGTGAATAATTCTTCTCAATGAGAGGCTTTTAACAATCCTCATCTTAACTGGTGGGGGAATTTTAAATCACTGTTCTTCAATGTGTTGAATTATTCGATTATGCAATAAATATCTCGTGTAATTCTTACAATTCTGTTTAATGAATGCTTCAGAGATTTGGCATTTAATTTCTAAAGGTTTAAGAACAACAAGTATCCAAAAATCTAAACACTTACAGTATTATACAATTGTGGAAACAGTGTTAATAATTTAGCTATGATATTTTATAATTTTATTCTGCAATGATATTTTCTCTGAAAAATAATAAAGCGGCGATCAATTTGTCAACTCAAAAAGTTTTCATATACATTTAAGTTCCTTTTTTTACAATTGTTTTACTCTAACCAGAGATGCTACGAGATGAATGAACTCCAAAATTTTATACAGAGTGCACTGGTGATACATGCATTTAATATCACATATTTATGGAAGGGAATTACCGCCAAAAGTCTATTTATCTTGCTTTTATTCTTATTCTGCCTACTTCTTTATGCTTTGTTATTATTGTAACTATATGTCACTTTATTGTTTTCATATTCGTCTTTATTACATTTCACTTGGAACTTTTTTCATTCTTCATTTTGTCCTTACTTCTATGTTGCTTTATTCTTGTAAATTCGTTCTTCTTTCTTTTAAATTGATACAGTTTCTTTAATAAATGATTATGATCATCTCTATTACAAATGTAAATTCAGTCACGCAAACCACGAAGACGAATACAAGTAGTGTGAATTTAATGCGGCATTATAACGCTAGGTGCCAGGGTGTTCGCTGCGAGTGTTGGTAAAATTAGGTACGCAAACCCGGGCCGGGGTTATTCGAGATTTTTCAATTTTCTGTCTTAATACTTTATCAATCGAATCCAAATTTTCAAATGATGTATGTTATAGGTTCAGGCAGGTACCCGGTGTCGTTCCCCCTGAAGTCTGGCTAGATGGTAAGACTTCCCCCGGAAGACTAGATATATAGTGAGACTTCTCCATGGGAAGTCTCGCTATATAGCCAGTCTTCCGGGGGAAAGTCTCACTATATAATCAATCTCCCCCCTTCATAGCGAAACTTCCCCCTTCAATTTAGTTTCCGAATTTTTTTTTTATTGTAAAACAATGTTTTATACTAACGTTTTCAGTGTTTGGATAAAATTTCTCCGTCCTATATGAATGAATAAATAAATATATGAATAAATAATTAAAACATTTTAATAGTGATTTTTATAAAATTTAAAACATCTTAACCATGCAGGTAAACATAGGTAAACTGCACGTTTCTACGGGTAATGACCTCTTTACTGTTAAACTAATTAGGTCTTTCCACCTTTCTGTGGAAAGACCTCTTGAAATGCTTCTGTTTATTATTATTAGGTCTTTCCACCTTTCTGTGGAAAGACCTCTTGAAATGCTTCTGTTTATTATTAGGTCTTTCCACCTTTCTGTGGAAAGACCTCTTGAAATGCTTATGTTTATTATTATTATTATTAGGTCTTTCCACCTTTCTGTGGAAAGACCTCTTGAAATGCTTATGTTTATTATTATTATTATTAGGTCTTTCCACCTTTCTGTGGAAAGACCTCTTGAAATGCTTATGTTTATTATTATTATTAGGTCTTTCCACCTTTCTGTGGAAAGACCTCTTGAAATGCTTCTGTTTATTAGGTCTTTCCACCTTTCTGTGGAAAGACCTATTGAAATGCTTATGTTTATTATTATTATTATTTTTCCGTTACGGACTTTTGAACCGAAAGACTTATCGAAGAACTTTATAGTTCATGATACAGGACATCAAAAGTTATTTCGAAAAACTACCAAACGAGTATGACCTATGACCCCTTTCGGAGTTCTTGCCCCTTGCACAAAAAACCTTGTTATCGCTACTCCTTCGAAACCGTAAACGGTAGAGGTACAGAACTTTCACCAACGTCTTCGACTAATTAAGGGGATTCTTCAATCTTTTCATTGGAAAAGTATTCGTCGGCCCCTTTTATGAGTTATTGCCCCTGAAAGTTTTTGATGTTTACGAATAATTAAGAATTTTCAAAAGGATAAGTCGTAGAGACATGAGACCAACTGCATAATATTTATTGACCTTTGACCTTGAAATATATGCAAAGGTCAAAGGTCAAGGTCATTCCAAAAATTAGAAATTAAGCTCTTTCTACAACTCGTTTGTCTTTCAACATATACTATCTGTCTTTGCATCATTAATATGTACTCTTAAATCTATTTCAAAGATTTCATTTTTGTCCCCTAAGCTTAACCCCTTTGAAAGTTATTGCCCCTTGTGCGAAAAACCTTGTTATCGCTACTTCTCCAAAACCGTAAACCGCAGAGACACGAAATCTACACTAAAGTCTTCAGGGTCTTTAGACACAACTTTAATCTACTAAGTGCGAAAGTATCCGATGACCCCTTATATGAGTTATTGCCCTTTAACGTCTTTGCACTTACTATTAAATCTTATAACTTTGAAACTAAAAGTCGTAGAAGTATGGGGTCAAGTGCAATGTGACCCTTGACCTTTGACCTTGAATATTTTTTAAGGTCAAAGGTCAAGGTCATTTCAAATTTTTAATTTTTTTCATTTTTTCTATCTTTCAAGCCATTTATGGATTCTTTTTGTATAAAAATTTACTTTAGAGAGTAAAATATAAAAATTAAAGAAATTTAAAGAAGGTGGAAAGATCTCTAATTGTTCGAGAACAATTAGTCTCCTAGTTATTATTATTAGGTCTTTCCACCTTTCTGTGGAAAGACCTATTGATTTTCTTCTGTTTATTATTATTATTCTTCTTCTTCTTATTCTTCTTATTATTATTTTTCTTCCGCTGATTTTTTGTTTCGACATTTATCGAAAAGACTTTTTGTTCATCGTAAAGGTCATAAAAAGTTATGAACAAATTTGACCCAACGCGTATAACCTATGACCCCTTTCGCAGTTATTGCCCCTTTCACTAGAAACCTTGTTATCGCTACTCCTCCGAAACCGTAAACCGTAGAGTTACGAAACCTTCACCAATGTCTTCGACTAATTGAGAAGACTTTTCAATCTATTCATTATGAAAGGATTTGTTGAGCCCTTTTATGAGTTATTGCCCCTGAAAGTTTTTGAAGTTTACAAATAATGAAAAATTTTCAAAACGATAAGTCGTAGAGACATGAAATCAACTGCATTAGATTCTTTAACCCTAGACCTTGAAGATTATGTCAAGGTCAAAGGTCAAGGTCACTCCAAATATGAGAAATAAAGCTCTTTTTAGAGCTTTTTTGTCTTTCAACATATACAGTTTATCTTTGCATCTTTTATATGTACTTTTAAAACTATTTCAAAGATTTCAATCTTGTCCCCTAAGCATAAACCTTTTAAAAGTTATTGCCCCTTGTGCGAAAAACCTTGTTATCGCTACTCCTCCGAAACCGTAAACCGTAGAGTTACGAAACCTTCACCAATGTCTTCGACTATTTGAGAAGACTTTTCAATCTATTCATTACAAAAGGATTTGTTGAGCCCTTTTATGAGTTATTGCCCCTGAAAGTTTTTGAAGTTTACAAATAATGAAAAATTTTCAAAACGATAAGTCGTAGAGACATGAAACTAACTGCATTAGATTCTTTAACCCTAGACCTTGAAGTTTATGTCAAGGTCAAAGGTCAAGGTCATTCCAAATAAGAGAAATAAAGCTCTTTTTATAGCTCTTTTGTCTTTCAACATATACAGTATATCTTTGCATCTTTAATATGTACTTTTAAAACTATTTCAAAGATTTCAATCTTGTCCCCTTAGCTTAACCCTTTTAAAAGTTATTTCCCCTTGTGCGAAAAACCTTGTTATCACTACTCCTCTGAAACCATAAACCGCAGAGACATGAAACCTTCACTAATGTATTTAGGGTCTTTAGACACAACTTCAATCTATTCAGTGCGAAAGTATCCGGTGACCCCTTATATGAGTTATCGCCCTTTAACGTCTTTGCGCTTACTAGTAAACCTTATAACTTTAAAACTAAAAGTCGTAGAAGCATGGGGTCAAGTGCAATGTGACCCTTAACCTTTGACCTTCAATATTTGTTCAAGGTCAAAGGTCAAGGTCATTTCAAAATTTTTAAAATTTTCATTTTTTCCATTTTTCAAGCAATTTCTTGTTTCTCTTGTATAAAGATAAACAGTAAAGAGTTAAATATGAAGAATATATGAAATTTAAAGAAGGTGGAAAGACCTCTAATTGTTCGAGAACAATTAGTCTACTAGTTATTATTATTATTTTTCCGCTACGGCCTTTTGAACCGAAAGACTTATCGAAAAACTTTATAGTTCATGATACTCGACATCAAAAGTTATTTCGAAAAAATACCCAACGAGTATGACCTATGACCCCTTTCGGAGTTCTTGCCCCTGGTACAAAAAAACCTTGTTATCGCTACTCCTTCGAAACCGTAATCCGTAGAGGTACGGAACCTTCACCAATGTCTTCGACTAATTGAGAGGACTCTTCAATCTTTTCATTGCGAAAGTTTTTGTTGACCCCTTTTATGAGTTATTGCCCCTGAAAGTTTTTGATGTTTACAAATAATTAAAAATTTTCAAAACGATAAGTCGTAGAGACATGGGACCAACTGCATGAGATTCTTTGACCTTTGACCTTAAAATATATGCAAAGGTCAAAGGTCAAGGTCATTCAAAATATAAGAAATTAAGCTCTTTTTATATCTCTTTTGTCTTTCAACATATACTAAATATCTTTGCATCATTAATATGTCCTTTTAAAACCATTTCAAAGATTTCATACTTGTCCCCTAAGATTTACCCCTATAAT